AATTTAATGGTATAGTGAGTGACCGGACGGACGGACACGACATAGTGATGGCCGCCACTAACGGTGCGGCCGACGGCGCCGTTGCCTTCAAAAACGGCAATTTAGTCAGACTTTTGTTAAGAGATTTCATGTATGAATCAAATATAGTGTTTGCAATTTTTGTTTCAATTAAACTAATTATTATCTCATCGACGGTCAGGACGTATAAGAAGGTGGAGATGAAGGCGGGACCCAATTTGAATCTAGTGTTGGGTCCGAACGGAACGGGCAAATCAGCGCTCGTTTGCTCTATAATTATCGGTTTGGGAGGCGAGCCGTCGACCACCGGTCGCTCCGGACATTTGGGTTTGTATTTTGCGGTCATTTTCGTAATGGGTTTTTAATGGATTGATTGGATTTGGTCTTAAAGGCGAATACATTCGTTTCGGTTGCGATTCAGCGCTCGTCGAGATTGAGTTATACAACGAGACTCCGAAAGCGAAGAACTATCTGATCCAACGGGTAATTCAGGCCAAACAGAGCCACTCGTCCGGTAAGACAGAGTTCACGTCACACTTCAAACTGAACGGCAAGGACTCGAACCGAACGCATGTCCGCGAATTCACGCGACAATTGAACATAAATGTAGACAATTTGTGTCAATTCCTGCCTCAGGAACGGGTGGTTGAGTTCGTGAAGATGGACCGCAAGACACTACTCGAGTGCACGGAGAAGGCGGCCGGCGATGAGCACATGTACGACACGCACATACAGATCGTGGATCTGACCAAACAGATCAAGAAACTCAACTCTATTAACACGGATCTGACGACACAGATCTCGTCGGCGAGCGAACAACAGGCCAGAGCTGAGGAGGAGTTGCGCCGAATCGAGGAGAGAGACAAATACAAGGATGAGATCAAGTGGTTGACGAAGAAGAGGCCGTGGATTGAGTACGAAGACAAACGCGTCGAGTATTCGGCCGCAAAGGATAGTGTGGTGACGAAGAAGGAAGAGATCACTAAACTGTCGAAGTGTTTGGAACCGCTTAAGAAGGAAGTGAACGATTCGCGAAAAGCGTACACCGAATCCCAGACCCAAAGAACGGCTGCTTTGGCCGACATTAAGAAAATGGCCAAAAGTATAGAACCGTATAAAACGAAGATTGAGGACACGTTTGAGAAGATAACGGACACAAAGAATGTGTATTTCGATAAAATGAAGGCCGAAAAGCAACGCCAGAAGAAGTTAGTGACCTTACAGTCGGATTTGCGAGAACTCGAAGAACAGTTCCAAACTGTGGACGAAGAGAATAAAGAGAATTTCGATCAACAGATACGGGATGTGGTCAGAGATATGACGGCATTGAACGAGAATATCTCGAAAACGGCTCAACAAAGGATGCGTCTGAAGAACGATTCGGAGAAATCGGTTTCCAATCGAAACGAATGCGAGAATCAGCGCAAGAAGATTGAGGACGTGTTGGGCAAACGGCTCGACAAACTCCGCGAACTCGATATGAACGCCGCGCGCGCCTACGAGTGGCTCGAAAACAACAAAAGCCGATTTAAGGGTACAATACATCCGCCAATCATGACTCAAATCAATATGATTCGCACCGAATGGTCGAAGTATGTCGAGTCAGCCGTCAGTCGCAACGACTTAACGGCCTTTATATGCGAAGACGGCGCTGATCTCAGAGCGTTTACCGATGCCATCAAACAAGAGTTCAACGTTCGCGTCAATGTTGTGTTAGCGCCCAATCAGACGGCCGACCAATTCGTGCCCGACTTTGACGTCCGGAAGTATCGCGAATACGGCATTTTTAAGACCATAAGCGAGATGTTTACGGCTCCCGACAAAGTGATGGCATATCTCTGCAAAGCAGCACATCTCCATAAGATACCCGTCGGCGACCAGAAAACCGACCAAAAAATTGAACAACTAATGAAAAACTCGCCGTTTCGCCGCATTTATACCGACAGAACGCAATACATAATCAACGTTTCGCGCTATGACCAGCAGAAAGTGACCTCCAGTTCTGTCATACCTGAGGCCAGGTTTTTGAATTTGACGATCAATGAGAGCCAATTGAATGACATAAAGCGAAAGATTGTCGAATTGAATGCACAGATATCAGACATTTCCCGAAAGGGCAGAGAAGTGGACCAATCACTGGCCGAACTGAACGCCAATTTAAATGATTTGAAAAATCGGAAACAACTTCTGGAGCGTAAGAAGAATGAGAAGCGAGTGTTGGAGGCGAAGATTGGCGAGAAGAAGGAACAAATACAGCGAATGGAGAGACAGGCCATGGATTTGGTGGCCGCTAAGAGGAAGGCAGAGGACGCGTTGAAGAAGCTTCACGACAATCAATTGATACTAATGACTGCTTTGACCAAAAGTATCGGCGAATGTGTCAAAGCAAACGACACTAAATTGAAGGCCGTTTTGTGCGAAACATTTTCTCGTAATAGACTCCGAAAGGCCGAGAAAGGGTTGGCCACCGCTGCCGCTCAATTCGATGACCTCAAGAACGAACTCAAGCGTCTCGAGGAATCGTTGGATCAGTTGAAACGCGTGGCCAAAGATTTACGAAATGCGGCCAAAGAGGCGTCAGGTTTCGATGTGAACGACTGTTCGGCTGAAGTGCGCGAAAAGTTTGACGCTTTGCCCAACACTTTGGAAGAGATCGACAATCAAACGGGAACTCTGAAGCTAAGGATGAATAGCATTCTGGACGCCGACGAGTCGGTCAGAGACCAGTATAACCAAAGGCGGCGTAATATCGAAAAGCATAGGCGAGATCTCGAGGCCAGGAAAGCCGAACTTACCGCTAAGCAGACAAAGTTGGATGAGCTTAAGAACCAGTGGCTGCCGTCTCTGGAAGAACTCATTGACAAGATTAACACCAATTTTGGCAATTTCATGGCCCGACTCAACTGCGCCGGTGATGTCTCCCTCTTTAAACCCAACGACGAGGTAATTGTTTTAGAAAATACTTTTTATGGTTTACTAATTTGAATGGTTTTAAAGGATATGTACGACGAATACGGGATATCAATCAAAGTGAAGTTCCGTGAGACGGAACAGCTCCGGGAGTTGACATCATTCCATCAATCGGGAGGCGAACGCAGCGTTTCGACAATGATTTATATGATAGCGATTCAGGAGTTGACTAAAGTTCCGTTCAGATGTGTTGATGAGATTAATCAGGTATTTATGTCATACATTGGTTCCCAAACCGATTACCCGGTGCTTAATGTGCGCTGTTTTGCTGTGCAGGGAATGGATGAGAACAACGAGCGCTCGGTTTTCGACCTGATTTCCGAGACTTCCGGCCGTAATAATAGTCAATATTTTTTGTTTTCGCCAAAACTGTTGAGTGATTTGCAATACACGGAAGAGATGACTATTCACGTCATATTCAACGGCCCGTATATGGAGTACGACTGGAATCGTCTGGAAATCGTAGATGAAGACGATTCCGATGAAGACGACGAGTAGTCTATTGAAACAGATATGCCATTGAATAGTAATAGTCACCAATAATTGCCATTAGTTTGTTAACAGTATTTCTACTTACGGTATAAGAAAAGATATGCCAAATTTTATATATGGTTTTAATTGCCATTTATTTCATTTGATTGATAATTAAATTTTACTTAATTTATATATTTGTGATGTTTTCCTATATTATATGATCGTATTTTCTTAATTAAACGACAATTTATTGATTATTGTTTTGATTGATTTCTAGTTAACCTAATAGTGAGTGAAGAGAAAAGTTGTGAAAAGTTTGTAAATGTAATGCAACTGAATGTCAAAGAGTGTCGCTTTTGTTGTCTAGTATTGTGTAATACTTGAGACAAAACTCAATGATTTGTTATTCACTTTTCAATACAACAAATAAGTTGTAAGTATTGGTTATCACTGATTGTAACCACAGATCAGTTGGCATCAGATCATCAGTCGATCGCTTCCGAGTAATGCATTCACACATTTGGCTCATTATTTCAATGCGAAACACATTTTAATTGAATTGCATTCAAAACTATAGGAAACAATCGGTGAACGCATACAATGGTTGCGTCCGCACAACCGAAAGACCAATCATCGATGGTCTGGAGGGCCAGTCATGCCTATCAACGGCAACAGTCGGGTATAAACGCCATATTCATGGGCCCTCCCGGAGCAGGAAAGGGCACTCAATCGCAAAACGTGAAGCGAGACTTCGGTG